CGAGGGTTTCATTCCTGGGGGTCGCACGTTTGATCCCTCGGGGTTCCTTCCCCCGAGGACCGCGGGTTTCGCCCCCCGGGCTGTGTCCCCGGGGGTCCCTGGCCGTGCCGGACCTTAACCCTCCCCTCCAGAACCTGATCTTCCGATACCTGCAGAACGTGAGTACCTAGGGGTGGCACCTCTTCCCAGTATCCAGTTTAAATCTACTTTGTTTCAGTTTAAAACCCTTTGGGGAGTGTCTGGTGCTCCTTGAGCACGTGGCCTGTGCTGCCACACCAGGCTGGGGTTGTTATTAATTCGGGCTTTGACCCGGTTTCGGTGGAACTGAGGAATTCAAGAGTCATTCAGAGGAGTGAGAACAGCTCAACATTTCCTTCCCCCAGCCAGGAATTACCTGTGTAACAGGTGTCGATCCTGCGGTCCGGGGTGTGGGATGTTTCCACAGAACCCCAGCATGGTTTGGGTTGGGAGGGACCTTGAAGACCCTCCAGTTCCACCCCCTGCCTTGGGCAGGGACACCTTCCACTGTTTCCCTGTGACAATTAAAAATCTCTGCTGTCCTGTGTTTCATTATTAAATATTGTTAATTAGCATTTATTAACTGTTATTTATTATTACTTAATTAATTATTGGCAAAACGTCAAAAACACCAGAGGACAAAGCAGAGAGACTCCTCTGAGAGCTGCAGTGGCTGTTGGCAGCGAGGAGCCCTGGATGCCCAGGAGGGAACAAACTGCTTGAGGTGTTTATGTTCCTGTTTTACTCTCTCTCTCCATGATTTTTAGAGATCCAGGATCCAGGTGTGGCTCTATGAGCAGGTGAACATGAGGATAGAAGGCTGCATCATTGTGAGTATCACTGTTCCCTTGTCACTGCTCTGATCATTTTGGGGGGGGTGGTCCAGGTTCATAAATCCATTTCTTCCTTCTTTTCCCGTTGTTTTCCAAGAATGGGAGTGGAAATGCTTCATGTCTCTCCTGTAAAGAGCCTTAATTGCAGAGCTGAGGAGGGTTTGTGGGGTGGTTGCTGAATTTTACCTCCCTGACTGTGTTTGGTGCTGTTTGCAGGGCTTTGATGAGTACATGAACCTGGTGCTGGATGATGCAGAGGAGATTCACTCCAAAACAAAGTCCAGGAAGCAGCTGGGTAGGTCAGAGTGGCTGTGGGACCCGAGGGAGCCTGGGATCCAGGTGTGGGACCCGAAATCCAGCTGTGGGAGCCTGAAGCTCATGTGGAGCAGACACTGGGCTCAGTTCCTGCTGTTTCCCGAGCTGGTGGATTTGTTGAATGTGCAGGAAAACGTGTCTGGGCCTGAGAGCACGTTTGGGCTTTCAAACAGCTCTAACAAATCCAGGCTGGACAGGGCTTGGAGCAGCCTGGGCTATGGGAGGTGTCCCTGGGCTATGGAGGGTGTCCCTGGGCTATGGAAGGTGTCCCTGGGCTATGGGAGGTGTCCCTGGGCTATGGGAGGTGTCCCTGGGCTATGGGAGGTGTCCCTGGGCTATGGGAGGTGTCCCTGGGCTATGGAGGGTGTCCCTGCCCATGGCAGGGGGTGGCACTGGGTGGGCTTTAACCCAGCCCACACCATTCCATGGTTCTGTGGTCTCTCCAATCCCTCTTTCCCTTGTGTTGCAGGTCGGATCATGCTGAAAGGGGACAACATCACCCTGCTCCAAAGTGTTTCCAACTAGGATTTGTTCTTCACAACAGTGGCTGGAATGCTCTGGAGTGACTGAAGTGTCAGTGGGAGCAGGACTGGGCAGTGGGGAGGGAGTTGTGATAACTGGGGCTGTGCCAGGGCTGGGAACTGCCCCTTCCTCTGGGGGGGATTTTTTTTGTAGTTTGATGTATTTGGCAAATAAACATTTTTCATGTTACCTGTAAATGTAAACCTTGTTTTCAGTCTCAGGGTGCAGAGAAGGGGCAGAAAGGTCTCCAGGTGGTTTTCTCTGTGGAGTTGTGGGGTGTTAGATCTGGTTTAGGAGGAGACTCTAAAAATTCAAACCATTCCAGGTAATTTTGAAGTAACTATTTTTACAGTAATGTGGGACTTTTTTACTAGTAGTGTGTGCTTAAAAATTTTTTTGTTTAATGCAGAAAATTAAATAGAAAGAATTAGAAAAAATTAATTTAATTTGCCTCAGTGCCGAGCTCCAGTTTATCCACTGAAATAAAAGTGGGAGCCTCCAAGGGTTTGTCCTCCCTCTGAGCACGTGGCTGGCACGGAAAAGAGATGGACATGAGGAGAAATGGCTGGTTCTTATCAGCCCTGCTGCTGCCAGCTCCAAATTGAGCACTCTGAGAGTCCCTGATGCCTCCAGAGCTCCTCTGATATGATCAAATTAGTGCTGCTGGACGTCGATATTGGAGCAGGTCGAGGATGGGAGGAAGGAAGTCCAGGCTAATCAGGCCGAGGCATCTCCCATAAGGTCCCAAAATAGTCCCTAATTATGTGCGTGGGGGAGCTGCAGGAGAAAAGAGGCTCCCGGCAGGAAGCCACGGAGCTGCAAAGGGCCTCCAGGAGAGCCCTGCGTGTCCAGGAGAAACACAGCCCCATTGTTCCAGCAGCTCCTGGCACTGGAGCCTTGCGGTCCAACAACAGCTCCTGGGCATGGCCAGCCCAGGGACAGGGCACAGAAACAATCCGGGCCCGAGAAACGCTTGTCTGTCCTCCGAAAAACCGCAGGGCTGACTCATCCAAAGGCTCGCGGAGCGTTTTAACCCCGAATCCTTCCAGCTCCCGGCGCCTTCCCGGGCTGCGGGCAGGGAGAAGGTGACGGCTC